ATATAAATATATATATACAAGGTCTTCATTTGTAGCGCCCACCGCGGGAAAGACTCCGCCACCGATGGACTGCGAGAGTTCTTTCCCACAGAGTGGGCAGGTCGAGGTGATGGATGGTGTTACCCAACTCAAGACCAAGATGGTACTTGTAGATGGTAGCCTTCGCCACACTTGTGATTGAGAGAGGGATTGTGCGTCTTATTCGTCTTACATTTGTCTTAAAGAAAAGCCTTTTGTACGAACTCTTGATATAATTCCAGAGAGATCATGAGCAGTATGTACCTATATATAGTCACGACCATCATGGGTTCTGTCACGGATCCGCGCGCATCATCATTATGATCATTATCATTATCTAATGATAATAATAATAATAACTAGCGGATGTGCCCGGCTTCGCCCGGGTTTTTACCCGAGTAAAGGTTTGTTTAACGAACATTTGTTAAAACAATTCTCTATAAACTTATTTTAAAAAGAAGATATATTTTGATAATTTGAAACTTGTAAATTTGAATCTCTCGATAAAGTGAACATTTTTTCCCGGTCCCTGTGTGCCGTGTCATCCTGAATTTTGTCTTTCCTAATTTTCTACATTACAAAATCATCGTTTTATCTAGTGAACATTTTTTTCCGGTCCCTTGAAAAATACTCGATAAGTTGAATAAAATCAATATTAATTGGTTCCCTCGGTAATTGGAAGTTAAAGGAATAGTATATTCGCCTTGGAATTGTATCATTATTCTTGTCTCAAATAAATTGCCGTGTCATCCTGAGATAATCTTACTTTTGATAATAATATTTAAGATTTTATTATATATATATATATTACACGTTATTTGTTTTCTTGGCCGACTGTTTTACATATGGTGTTATCTCAAAATTGCTTGTTTTGAATATTTTTTTAGATTGAGATTATTAGCTAGTATGTAAAAAAATTAACTCTGTTGAAATTTAATTTTGTATTTATATATAAATAAAATTAACTCTGTTGATTTTTTTTTGTATTTAATCGATAACAGCGAAGTTACGCATGTTAATGTTAGGGAAAAATATTTTGATGTTAAGCAAAACCTGCTCCATCTCGTTTTACATAAATGTTGAAAATTTGGTTGAAATTAATGCATTGTAACGAAAGTTTTTAGTGATGTACACTTATGAAATTTGCATTTTATTAATATAGATTATTATTATTTTTATTATTATATTATTATTATTATCCATAGATATATAGTCACGACCGTCATGGGCCGGTTCTGTCACGGATGCGCGCGCACAGGGAGGTCACGTGCTCGCCGGCAGCCAACGGGCGCGCGTCGCCGGCATTACGTCATAGATTATAAACACAAGGTAATAAGGCCAATAAAAAAATAGTGTGTGATAAGGCACAATTTGGATTATCTACTTATATAATTGCCTTATTCTCTCTGTGTGAAGTTCACTGTGTGAAGTTCACGGATAGATTTTGGTCAGAATGGATAAAATAAAAAAGTGTCAAGGGATGGGAATCGAACCCACGACCTTCCGCTTACCGGGCAGATGCCATGACCACTAGGCTACCCTGGACATATTTTTCCGTTCACATTTTTATTTTTATATTTTCAACACACACAATTTGGGGCGGGACGTTTCACAAAAGAGACATCCACGGCGCCAATTTATAATTGTAATGAATAGTATTTTAATTAAAACATTTTTAAAATATATATGCACTCGGGTAAAACCCGGGCGTTGCCCGGGCCATTCGTCTAGTGTACCTATATGCACAATTATCTCTATTCATGATAAAATTGTGAAAAAAGTTTTAAAATACAAATATTTTCTCACAATGAGTTTCTTTTTATTCAAGCGATTATCACTTGAAAGCTAGCGTTTTTTTAATAAAAAGAAACTCATTGTAAGAAAATATTTGTAATTTTGAGAATATGCAATTATACACTGCGTGACATTGAAAATGGAACACCAAGAAATAGTGGCCAGAAAGTGATGAAACTCGGCAGACAGAGAGAGACAGGGACGAACAATAAGTGATCTTTATTTCAAAATGATAGTCATAATACAGAGCGAGAACGGCGTCGGCTTAGTAGCAAGTAGGACCACCGCGGACGGCGATGCACGCAGCAACACGTCTAGGTAGAGAGTCAATCAGAGTACGGATGGCGTCCTGAGGGATGGCTCTCCATTCCCTCTCAACCATTTGCCACAGTTCGTCTTCTGAACGCGGCTGTGGCAAGGCATGCAAACGGCGTCCAATGATGTCCCAGACGTGCTCGATTGGTGAGAGATCAGGAGAGTACGGTGGCCAGGGAAACATCTGTACATCTTGCAGAGCTTGTTGGCTAATGCGAGCAGTGTGAGGTCGGGCGTTATCCTGCTAATAAAGGGCATTTGGTACCCCCTGAAGGTAGGGGAGTGTCACCGGTCGCAGCACATCATCAACGTATCGTTGGGGCCGTCATAGTGCCCTGAATACGAAGTAAAGGTGACCTGGAATCATATGCGATTGCGCCCCAAACCATGATTCCACGTTGTCGCACGGTGGGGCGTTCCACAATTGCTGCCGGATTGGACCTTTCTCCACGTCGACGCCACACGTGTACACGGCGACTATCACTGGACAAGCAGAAACGCGACTCATCTGAGAACACGACCCTGTGCCATTCCGTCATCCACGTCGATCTAGCCCGGCACCATTCCAAACGTTGGCGCCTATTCGGTGGGGTCAATGGCAGTCTTCTTAGCGGACGGCATGAGTGCAAGCCATTAGCAACCAATCGACGGGAAATGGTTCTGGTCGAGATGGAATGATCTAGGGTGTCTTGCACATGTTGCAGGATGGCGGTAAAAGTGGCTTGTGGGGCCGCCACTGCTTGTCGAAGGATACGCCGATCCACACGTGCTGACGTCACTCTGGTTGCACCGGCATTCCTATAAATTGCCACATTTCCTTGTTCCAACCATCTTCTCCACAGTCGGTGCACCGTGGACGCACCAAGGTGTGTATCAGCTGCGATTTGACGTATGGACCATTCTGCCCTTTTCAGTCCGATCACCATGCCCCTCGTAAAAGCGCCTGTCTGCTTGAACTGCCTCCGTTTACGATGACCTGGCATTCTCTGTTATTACACGTGTCTTTTGACACAAGAACAAAATTTCTACAATGATTTTCCTTGAAGAAATAACGACACGAATACTGTCCTTTCTGCAAGTTCCTTCCCTTATATCTTACTCCATGTGCGCACGAGAGCTGCGCATTTTACATCATTTGCATAACTCGGTTAGGCGCGTCTACCCTGAAATTTGCATAATTTTCTGGCCACTATTTCTTGGTGTTCCATTTTCAATGTCACGCAGTGTATAAAGACAGTACTATCTCTCAGTCTGTATTAAACAGAAGGCGTATTGTTAACATCTTGGTATGTAATCCATCTGACAATGGAGTAGTATTGTAATAACACACTGCCTTCGAAGATTACTTTCTCGCTTTATTTAAACGATTTCTCAAGCTTTCAGGTATTATAAACCCTTCTTCAAGAGTATACAATGACGTAGTATGCCTGCATGTATTTACACAAAAATGGTAAACCTTGTTATAAAAGTTTGTATATATAAAGGTGGGATTTAAAAGTACGAATGTTTCTTTTATACATAATACAAACTTCTACTGCCCTTACTGCGATGAAAAAATATAATGGGAGGGCTTGGCTCATCAGTGGTGAACCCTCCCAGCGTTTTCGCCAATTTAATCCACCAGACCGCTTCTCAGAGCTCTTATACTGTATTGGACGATTCTGATTATATACGCAGCACTGAAGGATGGAATCTCAGAAATGGTTTTCAAGAAAACTATGGACATAAGCTTATAGGACAGTAGAATTACATTCAAATATTTGCATCCAGCAATGCTCTTCCGCAAACAATAAAGACAAAGCCAGTTAGGCATTTTAAATTTACTTTCGTTTTATATGTATAGATGGCGCGTTATTGCTTTGTGTTAATATAAAGGTGGGTAAATTCCCACCCTTAGGAGTGAGAGCAGGCTTGACATAGTGTTTCCTGACTTCCTCTATCTTCAGATCACAAGTCTTCAGCTTGTTCCTTAGTATATCAAACACAGTTTGCTGCAGGTTACCCAACATACTGTTTATCCTATGGTACATAACGCAGTATGGCTTGGCCTTGAGATCTCTCCCAAGGGACTCTGCCTATCTCACCATATACCATATTTATACACTCACTGAAACAAGTGGAGATTTCTTCCTACCCTTCCCTGAATAACTGATGAAGACTATAATGCTGCGAGAACTCTTTCTTAAAAGAAGCCTATTGTGAAATATCCTGATATATTGTGATCAGTATATGATTAAAGCGGAATACTAAACTAAGTCTCCACTCATCTTTTCAAAACAAAAATAACCATTTTAAAGAGCTTCAGAAAAAACAATCGAGACTGTGAGAAACTCTCTGTATGCCTGTGAGAACGCAATAAAACGGACACCATATAAATGTACAGGTTGAGTAGAATATAATAAGGTGATGTGTTTCCCAAGTATATTTGGCTACTATACTACTCTTTGTATGTTGTCATCACTACGTAGTGAATTCTATGTAGAGAGAGATTTAACATTTTGGATTTTCATCAAGACAATCCAATATAATCCATATGAAGAAGCATCATCATAAGAAGTACTGACTATACAAGCTGATGCCATAGTCCAAGTTGGACTTGCTAGGATGTCGGACGAACTGTCCCACCCACCAAGGGCGGTCCTCCAGATCCAGGTCACAAGGAAGGGAACCGGATATCTCCGTGCTTGCTGGGAAATCCATCGGTTCAACTGTCTGTCCGTGTTCTTGCATGGACTTCCTCCCATTACATTCACCCCCATAGCATGGAAATCTTCTATTCCTTGAAACACAGTGCAATATTCTGTTTCTATCGATGCATTCTGATATCAATTTTCAGATATGGTGGTGTCTTGTCCATGAAGAAAAGAGGTAATAGCTTACAGCACCCGGTATTCCCATGTCCAATGCCGTGGATAGTCTGTTTCAGTACGCATCTTTGTAGTATGACTATAAGACGATCCCTATTTGGCCAATTAGTCGGAACAATGTCTTTGTTCCCAAGTGGTCACCCTCCCAAGTACTGACCGGGCCTGACATTCCTTAACTTCGATATTCGGACGAGAACGGTGTTTTCAATGTGGTATGGCCATAAACAATTTTCAAATATATCATAGTAAATATAAATCACACGCATCAAAATAGTGTCAATTTGATAAAATGAAAACATTAAGACGCGAAAGTTTTTTCCACACACATGGATTGTTAATGGATTTTGTTGTGTATTGGCATTTTTTCTTGTATCTACATATTTGCATAGTTATTAATTATGCTTTTGGAAGATAGCACTATTTGCATAGTTATTAATTTTGCATAGTTGTTGGTTATGCTTTTGGAAGATAGCACTATTTGTATAGTTATTAATTATGCTTTTGGAAGATAGCACTATTTGAATAATTATTAATTTTGCATAGTTGTTGGTTATGCTTTTAGAAGCTAGCACTATTTGTATAGTTATTAATTATGCTTTTGGAAGATAGCACTATTTGCATAGTTATTAATTTTGCATAGTTGTTGGTTATGCTTTTAGAAGATAGCACTATTTGTATAGTTATTAATTATGCTTTTGGAAGATAGCACTATTTGCATAGTTATTAATTATGCTTTTGGAATATATAAATACCGTGGTTAGTTTTAGAGTCCAGAAACACATTAAGTTAGTCTTGTACCTTATATTGTACATGCAATAAAGGTCTTATTTGTCCACGCAGTCGTATTGGTGATTGGAGAGACCCGACGACGACAACACAGAATTTATTAAATTGTAAAGTCAGAGATGAACATGTATTATAGTTTTAATTTATTATAAAGGAAAACGTTGAGAGAGATCACTTTCGCTGTTTTCCTCAGAGGATTCGCCATAGGCATTGCAAGAAAGGACGTAAGGGGATGTATCAGATGGAATGCGGCTGAAGACCTGCCGCTACAAGAAGGTCGAGTCAATATTTGAAGAGCTCAAGAGAAGAAAGGGTTGGGTCGCCTGTGGCTTTTTGCCCTCAGGTCGGATGATTCTGCAGTCTCTGTCAGATATCTATCCTGCTACTAGACCTCAGAATCTTCAAATTTAATAAATTCCGGAGTAATAAAATATTTCTAGAAAAGACAATAGTTCTCAAATATATTTTAACATAGAAAATTAGGAAAGACAAGCTTCAGAATGACACATTAATTTATTTAAGGCTTGAAAACCAAATCAGCCTTCATACGATAAAGATAAGCAATGAGGGAGTTTGCAGAGTAAGAAAATATCTTTAGAAAATATTCGGTATATTTCATAACCCCCTGTTCTTTAAAAGATCAAAATATCCTTTAATGACTTTTTTAATTAATAATCTTTGCATAAAATATAATAAATACTTTGCTACAATATTAACTGGCCATATTCCCAATTTTGAATCAGCGACCATTATGAATGAGCACAAAGAATGAGCCTAGAAGACATAGAATATATAAGAATACATACATATGGAGCTTAATGGCTACAATTATCTGATTTGGAAACTTTTTAATAACCACGCAAGTCAATGTGCCAAGAAAAAAAAAACACTATTCTAAGTTACAGTGCCGGTTTGGGACTGATTATTTTAGTAAGAAAAGTAATAGAGATACAACTTTGAGAGAAGACGCTTTGATATCATCATAAGACTGGCCCTGGAAAGGAAGTTCTGGGAATCAAAGAATGCCATCAACTATCCTCTGGGTTAAAAAGCTAAAGAGAAATTTGACTCAATAAATGTAATTTAACTTAAAAAATACTCTGATGCTAACGGAAACTATGGACAACCAAATCAACAGCCTCAACTATACCTTGTTAATAACTATTCAAAACTGAATTTAAAATTAACATCTGAAAAGATATCAGAAAATAATATGGAAGACCATCTTCAATATGTCAATCAGTTAAGAACTGCATTCACAAAACTAACAGTTCAAATACCCTGTAAGGGCTCCTAATCCAGGGATACAGGATGAGCAGCGTTTGTACTCCATGTTAGGAGCGGCTGCACATGGCGTCTGTTCCTCATGTCAGAGGCGGCCATTTCTTTTGGAGCTAAGTCGGCCTGCCACTGAGTAGTGCTCCCAGTCTTAATGACAACGGTAGACGCATTGTACTTCACCCAGTCATGATGGTTGTCAAACAGACACCATCAAGGGTCACAACTTGATACCCTAATATGATTGAGTGGAGATAAGAAAGAAGAAGACAGATCCAAATAGAAAACGTAAAAACAATTTCTAGATGTTAAGGACAAAGCAATATCGAAATGCATCATAAAGATTTAATCCTTTTAGAGGAACATTCACCATTTTGTTTTTATGGCCATTAATATCCAAGGACAAACACACCATAAACATTCGAATGATCATAAAATACTAATATATGTCTTGCCTTATAGCCGATAGATGAATTATCAGTAAAGGGATTATTCCATTGTCTTGTTATGTCCATTTCGGAATAATAAAAGCTGGATTACATGTAATTATTAGCTTGATCGTTCAGGATAGCACAGTTTTTATTTGACATATCGGACGCGATATCCCACCTTGGGATACTTACGTCTAAATACATTTTAGCAACCTATATACAATTCAATAACAGGACTATAAACAAAATTAAAACTGAAAGTTTGGTTTTCTTAAACACAGAAAAGAAAATCTAAAATGAATTTACAAAAATTATTGAATTTTACATGTGTCTTTGTTATATACAAATTCGCAAATTTCTTCGATGGGATAACACAGTTCCCAACCCTCTTTTCTCCAAGCAACAAACCTAAAAGGTAAATCTTTGCATAGCCAACAAAATTAAGAATTTACATAAAAAAGGTCCCAGATTATATTCGAATATAGTTTTTTAATGATTGATTTTTTCACACACACACACACACACACACACACACAGGATAACTGCAGATTTTAGGCTTTATTTGTATGATATAAAACCGATTTTCTTTTCTTCAAAATAGAATTATAATTTTAAAATGTGTTAAGACTGATACATATGTACAAAAAAAAGAGCATATCTCTCAAAATGAATCCAGAAAAAAATATTTTGTTGAGTGCATTGTAATTATGTATCATTTTTTTTACTTTGCACCGAAATGGATTGGTGAATAAACTGTAAAATACCATTAGAAAAAATTCGGTATAGTTCATAACTCCCTGTTCTTTGAAAAGATCACAATATCCTTTGATGCCATTCATAAATGCATTTTATATGTGTTTATCAAGAATAATACACTCATGGACAAAACTTAAAGAAGTTTTACCTTTTATCATGTATATTGGGATTCAGACAATAACTCTGAAAGATACATTCATGGACAAAACTTAAGGAAGTTGTAACTTTTAGCATGTATATCGGGATTCAGACAATAACTCTGAAAGATACACTCAAGGACAAAACTTAAGGAAGTTGTACCTTTTATCATGTATATCGGGATTCAGACAATAACTCTAAAGATACACTCAAGGACAAAACTTAAGGAAGTTGTACCTTTTATCATGTATATCGGGATTCAGACAATAACTCTGAAAGATACACTCATGGACAAAACTTAAGGAAGTTGTACCTTTTAGCATGTATATCGGGATTGAGACAATAACTCTGAAAGATACACTCATGGGCAAAACTTAAGGAAGTTCTACCTTTTAGCATGTATATCGGGATTCAGACAATAACTCTGGAAGATATTTGATACACTTTGAGCTTTATTGAAGACACTCGAGATAACCAAGTATGAACAAATTGTCTCTATCTCCTTCAAAATAAATAAATAAATAAACAGACGACCGGCGCTAATAAAATAATTTCTACTTCCTTAAGTTTATCCATGAGTGTATTTGTCTATTTTGTACATGAACGCTATCCTCGGTTTACAATATATTCCGACTATCAACTCAAAGTACATATTTGCATCCTATATATACATACTTATATATCATTTCATATATTTCCTTCTTTCTATAACTGCTCTTTAGTGTAAATGGCTCTATGTGATTATGATTTGCAAAGCCAGTTCAATTTCTATGTAAATAACACAAGATTATTATTACCTTAACCAATTTTGGGAGAATCTGTATGGGGCAAGTCCCTAATAAAGGCTTTTGTGTGTGTGTGATTATGATTTTCAAGTAAATGCTTTGATCAATATCTTCTGCAAATAAATCTCATGAACAAGCCTGCTGGGTAACATTTAAAATATAATCTACATACCCATAGTTTATTTATAAAAGGTATTGAATATTCAATTTTTAAAATTTATATTTGTGCTAACTCCGCCTTTGCCGGTCCCAAGCCCGGATTAAAAAGGAGGAGGGGGAGCAGTAACAAGCTCGCTAAAAAACCTGGGCTCAGCTGGCCGGCTGATAGTACCCTGTAAGGGCTCCAGGGATACAGGATGAGCAGCGTTTGTACTCCATGTTAGGAGCGGCTGCACATGGTGTCTGTTCCTCATGTCAGAGGCGGCCATTTCTTTTGGAGCTAAGTCGACCTGCCACTGAGTAGTGCTCCCAGTCTCAATGACAAAGGCAGACGCATTCTACTTCACCCAGTCATGATGGTTGTCAAAGCTTGATACCCTAATATGATTGAGTGGAGATAAGAAAGAAGAAGAAGAAGATAAATGTGCTTACCACTTGATAATGGACTTAGGATATTGACCTGATGTTAATGGACAGATAGAATGAATGAAAGAACAAGTAAACAAATTATTCTGTATTAAATGGTGGTGATTCAGGAATGCCTATAAAAAGATAAACGTCGCTTGAATTGAATCAACTTACACAGGTGTTTGGGTCATTATTGTGTTATTTTAGGCTAATTTGGTGCACATGGTTATATTCAAAATATATTCTAAATGTGTATTTTATTATTTTATAAATGTGTTAAAAATAGATCATTACACTAATGTAATTATGAAAAAGGCATCTCCTTATCGTCCAACTGAAAGTTGCTGATGGCTTGAGCCATCTATCGGAATAAATATCAATTATTCTCGTTGATTTTTAATTATTCCAGAATTGTCCAAATACCCATTCTTTATTAATCAAGAAAAGCTAACCACGGACGCGTTTCGGGCTATTGGCCCTCATCAGCGTGGTGCAAGCTGTACCTCAACGACCAAAAACTGGTCATTCAGGCATCCTGAAAAATCATGAAACGGGTAGTTATGGCCAGAATTGCGTGAGACCGCGACACAATGTGAAAATAGTACAAATGTGATATTGTACTGGGATAAGGTGCATAAATTTTGAAAAAGGCATCTCCTTATCGTGCACAACTGAAAGTTATCTACTTATATAATTGCCTTATTCTGTCTGTGTGAAGTTCACTGTGTGAAGTTCACGGATAGATTTTGGTCAGAATGGATAAAATAAAAAACGTGTCAAGGGATGGGAATCGAACCCACGACCTTCCGCTTACCGGGCAGATGCCATGACCACTAGGCCACATGACCACAATTTATAATTATAACAAATAGTATTTGAATCGAAACATTCAATCGGGTAAAACACGGGTGTTGCCCGTGTCATTCGGCTAGTTTTCAATATTGTAATTGTATACAAATTGATTCAAGTATATATGTACAAGTGTATATGTATATGTTTAAATGAATTCAACCATGCAAATCTTCTGATGTTATTTGAGTAAAACCTCTAGACTGAGATTATTGCCACGTTACAAGTTTTGTCAATTTAGAAAAAAAAAACATCATATATACCATGGTTTTGTACATTGACCCTCATCAGTACAGGGGCGGCTTCCATTTCATAACATCCTATGAGATGAATTCTCAAATCGGCAGAATCTGCTGAAGATTTAGATTGGGGAAATGGTAGAGCCGATCATAGTCCAGAAAACATTGAAAGAGAAGAGGAGGATGGAATTAATGTGCCAAAAAAAAAAGAGCAATTCTTTCTCTCTTATAATAAAACACATGAACTACACTCATGAACAAAACTTAAAGAAGTTGTAACTTCCAGCATGTATATCGGTATTATAACTCTGAAAGATATTACAGTGACCTTTATTGAAGACACACGAGATAACCATCTGTCAACCAAATTGCTTTTGTCTACTTAAAAAAAAACACACACACACACACACACAACCGGTGACTTTCCACTTTTATTAGTTTGTCCATGAGTGTATATTCATTAATCAAAACAATGCAACTTTTGATGTTCTCTGAGCCAAACGCTTCAGATTGAAATTAGAGATCAAGTCATAACACCAGTTTATATACGAACACTGTTGCAGAATTCATAATAGAGAAAATTAGCTTGCAACGAGTATCTTTCATTCACATTTTAAAGCATCTATAGATATCGCTTAAAAAGGTAACAATGGACCTATTTCTTCCTATACAAAAGTCCAACAAGATCAAGCAGCTGGTGGTGATAACGAATAAATAGGCTCTTTGAAGAGAGTTTGGTTTAAAAGCTATCTTTTAAGGAGATTTTTTTAAGGAGACAGAGGCAATTTTATTCAAACTTGGTTATCTCATGTGTCTTCAATAAAGGTCACTGTAATATCTTTCAGAGTTATTGTCTGAATCCCGATATACATGTTAAAAGGTGCAACTTCCTTAAGTGTTGTCGATAAGTGTATATACAGATTCATGAGCAGCGTATGGCTAGCAGTAGAGCTATTACTATAAGAGGATACCAAATTTCTATAGCAGATCGTGAAAAGATTAAAATTCAGATAATGCACAAAATAGGATAAGACATCATCTCTGATTCAAAGTCTCAAATTCCTCCATATGATAGAAAATACCATCTTGACAGAAACTACTACAACAACAACAAAGCCTTTATTTATATAGGGCCTCTCGCCCTATACAGGATTCGCCAGTTCATAAAGGATGGGGAGAACACTGTGTGGCCCGGGATATAATCCTGTGGAATCCAAATATAGCCACCGCTATATACCTATTCTTTGATATTTTATTAATTAGTGCCGGAAATGAAGGACAAAGTTGCCCCGTTTTATCATTTAGTTTTTGTCTTTCCTCAGACAGAGCAGCACAATCAAATAAGTAGTGCAACATCTCCATTGTTATTCCTGATCCACAGAAAGTGCATTTCAGGTCTTCACCCCTCATTAAAATCAGATGGTGTTCTCTGAAAAAAATTGAAAGGGTTCTAAATTGCGCGATTAATCTGATGACAGGAAAAGGGAGTTCACTTAAGAAATATGACAGAAACTACTATAGAACTGTTAAAGAACTTCAGTTTAAAAAACACTGAAGCACATGCAATTCAGTAGCCACACCAATGCTCCAAATAAGATAGAGTCTAATAAGTGAGCCAATCTAACACATCATTAATCTCTATGATTGAGAGCCTGTTGAGACTGACTTCTATTTGCAAGACAGACTATTGATCATAATTGCCCAAATTCTTAGTAGTTTGTCTTCTACCACTCACCTATGAAGAGTATTAAAGCTATATGTTACCATACTACATCATTTAGAAGTGTTTCAAATAATAAAAAACTAATACAAATCTAATTTATAATTTAAATAAAGTTGCATAACACTATGTTGCATATTGATATATTACGACAATCTCGGAAAAGACCTCTAATGGGAAGCAAAAATATTGGTCTTTAATCGCTAATAAAATATTGAATAAGAGGAGACAATGATTTACAATTTTTATCATCATTGTGTCATGTTTTGATATAAGCCAAAAGTTTATTGTCAATTGTTTTGAATCTCCTGGATATAAATCAAATAATGCAAACGTTTTCTGGAGATGGGTTTCTCTTCATTTTACTTCATTTTCATTATATTTGTAGGAATTTATAACAAAAATAAACACATACTGGAAAATGAGACAAAGGTCGCTTCTCCCGTCAAAACCAGACGCCATCTATTGACCGTCGCCGCAACTAGTGGCCTCGGGTCGGTGACAAAGCCACAACACCAGCTTTGGCAAATTGAAAAGCGTCCACCTAGAGACCATGGTTTCGGGCTAATGGCCCTCGTCAGTCTATGGCGGACTTTATTCCATGAGATCCACATGGAATCTAATGGAATCTTGACAATCTGCCAAAGAGGCGACCATTGTCTCTTTAGATCAATATCCTCCCGGCAAAATTTCCATCTATATTGGAAAATTTTGAAGTGGAAAATCATTGGATTTCAGTTGTTCTTAAAATGAACTCAAACTTAGATTTTATACTAAATTGTATAACTTTTACGTATCTACCTTCTATCGAACTCCAACTAGAGAATATGAATGAATTATTTTCTTATAAAATAAATAAAGCTTCCAGGGCTAAGTTTCTTGTACAACCTTTTATTTTCAAGCTTTCGAACTTGTCAGTCTTTCAACAGGATTATCACTTAAGAATTTAATAATAAATACATTTTTATATACATCTTATACATATTTTAAATACCTACTATATAATGAGATAAAAAATAGTCTACACTATTTCTGTTTGAAAATCCAAAATATTTTGAAAATGTACGTGGGTGGTGGATGGATGATACGTGCTGGTTGAATGATATCTTGTATTTTCTTATATAACGAACAACACAATGGACTTGAGATTATATTTCTTCAAATTAAAGATATTTCGGCCAGTAAATATTTTTTATTGTCTCGACGTTTCGACAAAAATCTTTTGTCCTCGTCAGGAGCGTACAAAATTTACTGACCGAAGTATCTTTAATTTGAAGAACTATGAATTCCGGCTAGGCAGCCTCTATCTTTATGATAATTGAGATTATATGGTGACCTAAACATTCGCATCAACCACCTGGGAGACTTTCTTTATTTTCGAACTTTAAATAATTTCTGCCCTTCTAACAGGAGTACATAAAAGGATGGGATAGTGAACGCACTCACTAATTTATTGAGAGAAGCGCAACATATAAATCTTTAAAGGTTAAATCCCCCATTAATAAACATGTTTCCAGAATTGACTGGTGGACTAATGAACTGGAAATAATGAAAATCATTTTCATTATATTAGAAACTTGTATTACCGTCATAAAACAATCAGTTACAATACATTTAAGTTGGCAAGAAACAAATACACCTATCCCTCGATTTACACGGTAGATACGTTCCTGAGAAATACGTGTAAATTGGGGGATAGGTGTACACAGAAATAAAAATAAAATGCATTGACAGGTTAAAATATGTAGTCAGCACATAAGATCGGGATTCCTCGTGAGATGTGTACACAGCGCATGTGTTCAATCACAGTAGCATTTAGTATAGTGCGATAAAAAAAAAACTTATTTGGAAAACCGTGTAAAAGCGAAAACGTGTAAAACAAGTACCGTGTAAATCGGGGGATAGGTGTACACTAATGCAAAAAAAAAAAGCTAAAAGAACTAACTGGTGAAACGTTATTGAAGAAAATTACACAGATAATCCATTTGGTAATGCCTATAAGTTCTTCAATAAATTAAGATCATGTACAGAATGGAATTCCCATAATTGACAATTCACCAGAATATCTAAAGGAGCAAACAATGACCAAATTAATGAACGATATAATTAAAGCAAATAATGTCTTAACAGTGTTTATTTGTTTCTATGTTCTCATGTAGAAGGGAAGAAATGCCTGAAAGCTTGAGATTACGTTTAATAAAATGAAAAGAGGAATTCATCTCCAGAAACTTGTTGCATTATTCAATCAAAATGTTATTGTGTAAATAGTTTTTATTTATTTATTTAACAGTTGGGAGAGACACGCCATATCCACAATTAGGATAATTGCGTGTATATTTGAAATTATATACAATTAACACAATTGAACATTAGGAATCATGAAAATTAAACGTTCGATGTCAAATTTTGCATATAGCAATTATAAAAAGTTGCTTGCAATATGTACAGTCAACACTTTCGCCTTGAAATATACATCCTGCAGAATCTATTAAACTTAATGTATTGGTCTTTATTGCAAGCAACTTGTTTTGTATTAGTCAGGTAAAGTTGGTTTTCTTCCCTTAGATCAGAAGTTAATGGACAGTTTATCAGAAGGTGTTCATGGGTTTGTTTTTCGTTTCCACAAGTGCATGCAGGTGAACCAATTTTACCAATTCTAAACAAATATGTGTTGAAGTCACCATGTCCTGTAAAAAATTGAACGTTATAGAAGTTGAGTTGAACATAGTTAGGAATTCTTGAAGTGTGTAAATAGTTTGTGTGTGTGTATAATTTCACCAAAATTTGTACAGAAAAACCTGCTGGTTGATAATATGCTTAGTATCAACTTCAGTGTTAAGTAAGCAACACTTAAATTGGTTTCTACTCATTTTTTAAAGTTTAATTTGAATGTCTTCAGTGATGTTTTATCGCTTTATTAGGTTGTGCTAACCTAAAGCTAAATTAACTAAGCAATAAAGTAAAACTAAGGATTAAATTGTACAACTGCCAACAATCAGCAACGTAGGAAGATATGTTTTATCACCAAAGCTTTAGCCTT